GAGCCGCCACAGGGCCTTGGACACCCTGACACCCAGGACTTCGGGGGGCCCTCTGGGCTGGGGTCCGGGGCTCCGGGGTCAGGAGGCTGCAGCTCTCTCTCGATGGCCCTCGACCTCCCATGACCCCAGCCCAGGCGCTGCTGGGAAGAGGCCTCGGTTCAGAGTCTTTTGTGCAGACCGGGAGGGGCCTGTTGTCCCGGTGCGGCACCTCTGCGGGCAGTCGGTGTCCCAGGGGAGGCCCCCTTGGAGGACGAGGGTCAGGCCGTGCGCAGCAGGAGGGGACTAGGGGGCGCCCAGATGCCTTCCAGGGCCCAGGGGTGGGTCAGGGCAGGGCGCGCAAAGAGGGCCGGGCGGACAGGGAGGCTGCAGGGGTCAGGCCGCTGCCAGCAGCAGCCAGCGGACAGCAGGGGGAGCCCGGAACCTGGCTGATCTTGGCCTGGCCTCGTCCCAGACCCCTCGTCCCAGGCACCTTGCTGCCCCTGGGATGGCCGCTAGGGAGCTTGAGAAAGGTCCACAAGAGGCACATGTGGGGACAGATCCTGGGCCACCCAGCACTCAACATGGTCACCTACAGACCAGCAGCAAGACGGAGCGGTGGCCCAGCCAGTCCCTGGCCCAGAGGGAGGCTGGCTGGAGCCACAGAGACCTCTTCAGAGCTGCAGGGACACTCTGGTCAGATGGGGGCCTGGGGTGGCCCTGTTCACTCCTAATTCTCTGTGTGAATCCCTCAATGCTTGCTCAGGGTCCCCACCCACTGTCCCCACGGGACAGACCCCCCCCCTCAAAACCCAGAAACCCCAGAGGTGACCAAGAAATGGGCCACCCTCCCAGTCTCCATTAGCTCGCAGACCCAGCCTGCTGGCCCAGGCCCCCTTGTCCACTGGCTGGGCCAGGGACAGGAGAGCCTCGGCCGCCCCCACCAACCCCTCACGCCTTTTGCAGAGGGGGTCCTGTGTAGCTGCCACAGACCTGGGGGGCCTGGGGAGGGACAGGGCGGGGAGGCCGAGGGGAGCCGGACCGGCGGCCAGGCCCTGAGCTCTGAGTGAGTAGGGGAGCGGCAGGGCCAGGCCTCGGTGATCCCTGGGCCCACTGGGAGCAGGGCAGGCCAGGGGGCCTCTAACCTGGGGGACCACCGGGACCTCCAGGGTCGCAGGAGCAGGGGCCCCCAGGACAGGCTTCTCCAGAGACACAAACCTGACCCCTGGAGGACCCAGCCCAGACCCCTCTGAAGGCCTAGACACTGGGGTGCAGGGGTCTGTTCTCCCCGAGATGGAATCCCCCACCTCCTGTCCCTGACCGCGCACTCCTGGCCTGGGATGTGGGGGTGTGCCTTGAGTGACTCGGGGGAGTTTTGGGGCCCAGAGGCCCGCGGGCGGAGGGTCTGGAATGCACACTAGGCCACCCCAGACCCTCGGGCAGCCCGCCCGGACACGCACTTCTTCAGGAAGGCTTTGATCCCGCGTCCCAGCCTGAGGGTCCCTCGCTCCCCCTCCCCATCCTTCCCGCCCTCCCCCTGCAGTACCAGGAAGCCGGGTTTGCCTTGGCCCGCAGCCAAACCCTGGAATGTGCCGGCCGGCCGCGCCTCGCAGTCCCGGAGCGGAGGGACAGGGCGCCGGCTGTCTCCTAGACGGGGGCGGGGCGGGGGGGGCACGGCCTGCCCGGAGTCACGCACGAACTGGGCGCGGAGACTTGGGGGTGGGATGAATGGGCTCACACAGGCCGGCTGCCCGTGAATGGGCTCTGGCAGCCAAGCCCACGGCGGGACTTGGACGGGGCCTCCGGGGGCCCCAGGCCTGGATGGAGGTCAGCGCGAGGTGTGGGTGCAGCCACTGAGGGTCAGGCGGCTGAAGTCCCAGGCCGGGGGGGGGGGAGCAGGCGCAGAGCACCTCGAAATGTAGGCGAGGTGTGACTTAGGCACTCAGACGTGGGGGCAAAGTCCAGAACCCGGGGTCCGGGCGAGCCTCTGGACGCCTGTGGCCGGAGGGCATGCTGCACCGGGCTTGGCCCCTTGAGGCACCGGGGTCCGCCCTTGGTGCCCCTCGCCTGGGGGGTCGGATGGCCGGGGCAGCCCCCCTGTGGCTGGGCATGAGCACAGCTCAGAGGGCCGGCTCCCACAGGCCAGGACTCTCGTGACAGGGCCAGAAACACTCGGGACTTGGAACTGGCCTCTGCGGGGCCGAGACCTGGACCTGGACCACCCGGAGAGGCAGGCAGTGGGTGGAGAGGGGGCAACACCACCCAAGACCCCGAGGAAGGGGATTTAGGCCACTTGAGAATAAAGGACTTGAATGACACAGATGGGTGGGGGACCCTGACGCTCAGGTGATCAGGGTGGACACCGAGGCCCTGGAGGCAGGAGCGGCTGAAGTCCTTGCTACTGAGACATTCAGGGGAGGGGGTACAGCTGCCCAGACACCCAGAAAACTGCGGCCGGGGCTGTGGGGCGTGGAGCCACGGAGTCAGGAGCCCGAGCCCCTGAGACAGCGGAGACCTGGGGTCCGAACCTACTTCTGGGACCCAGAGGTTCAGAGGGACAGGTACCCGCCCCCGTCTGCTCAGGGCAGCGAGGGTGGGGCGCCGCCCCCGCGCCGAGCAGGGTGCAGGGCTGTGTGAAGCCACCCAGACGCCCGCGGGAAGGAGGTGGCTGTCAGCGGCACACGCGGGGGTGGCCCGGGGCCCAGGCGCACACGTGCTGGCTCAGAGTTTGGGGCCTGTGCCACCTGGAGCCCAGAGGAGTGGGGCCCCAGATTCCCAATGTCTCAGTCTGACAGCAGCCAGTGTCAGGGCTCCAGAGGGGCCTGCAGGACTGGATGGCGGAGGGGCCACCCCAGCTCTCGAGGGAGTGGGGTTTGGCACCCAGAGTCCCAAGAACAGTCTGTCAGGGCTCAGCTCCTCGGCAGACACCCCGAAATGGGGTGCATGCCCCCGTACTCACACTAGGGGGGTGCAGGACCCCCCTTTGGAGACACCTGGGCGGCTGGGCGGGTGTGGGCATGAATAGCACACACAGATGGCCCGAGACGGGGATGAATGGGACCCACACAGGCAAAGAGGGCGTGTGGAGCAGCGCGTCCAGACCGCAGGCCGCGGCCCCCGGCCCAGCCCGGCTCGCCGGCGGAGCAGGACCTGCCGCGGGGACTTGGGCACGGAGGGGCCCGGCCAGGGGCGTGGGCTGTCTGGGCAGAACCCCGGGGCCCAGGCTGTGGGCGAGGAGGAAGGAGACCGCACGGAACCTCCAGGTCGGGGGGGGGGGGTCCCGGGGAAGTCACAGGAGCGGCGAAAGGAGCTCTGGGTCTTGGGGTGCCCCGGGTGAACGCAGCCTGCCCAGAGCTGTAGGGGAACCAGGCCCAGGAGTCCCAGGGGCCCTTGGAGATGCGGCGGTGGGGGCCGCCGCGCAGGCAGCCCCGGGAGGGACCCAGTGCCTGTCATGGGGGTCTTCGGTTCTCTGACCTGGGGGCTGGTTGGTGGGCGGGTCCCACACAAAATACGTGCCATCGGACGGCGGGGTGTGTCTCCTCAATTTCCAGGCGAATGGGTTACAGTTCACCCAGAAACTCCAGAGAGTGGGGTCCACATCTCCCCGAAGTCCAGACTCAAGAGAAACGCACACAGACTGAAAAGAGGGCAAGTGGACCCCGAAACCAGCCCCGCGACGCTGACACCCAGGAGACAGGGGTGCAGGCTCCCGAACAAAGAGGGCGCAGGCGGCCTGAGCCGAGCAGCCCGGGCACACACAGGCCAAGAGCCGGCAAACGGGCCCGGGCTCCCCGCTCCGCAGCGGACTGCGGCGAGCCCTGCGCCCAGTCCTCAGCTGTCCCGGGCCCAGAGGAACGGGGTGCGGTGGGCCGGGGTCTGCAGGGCCGGGGCCCGTGCACGTCCCACAGCTCCTTCCGCCAGCATTAGCCCTGAGTTCCAACCTCAAACGTGCCTCACCCCCGCGCCACCCCAGCCGCCCCAGAGGACGCCAGGCAGGAGCCCCCCCCCCCACAGGGTCCCAGGGAGGCGCTGGCTGCCAAGCTGCCGAGGGGCCCCCAGCCCGGCTCTGTTTGGTTTTCCCCTCTGGAACCTCAGCCGCCATCTGGTCCTGGGGGCGCCCACATCTTGGGAAGGCACGAAGAGGGCGGGGTGGAACCCGCGGAGCACTCGGGATCCGCTGCACCTCAGGGCCTGGCGGCTCGGGGCTGGCTGTGGGCCACCCCCTGCGTCCGCCCCCATTCCCCGAGAGCAGGGCGTTGCCTGTGGCCCGTCTGCAGGTCCCCTGTGCGGGCCTGTGCCGGCTGCTCCCGGCCCCTCTGCTGTCAGAGCTCCTTCCAAACCGCGTCCCTGGGTTGGATCGGAGGCATCCTCTGTGCCACGTGCCCAGAGCCTCTCGTGACTGGCACGGGCACACGTGTGTACACGCGTCCCACCTGCCGTGTGCACTGAGCAGCCTCAGAGCCCCGGCAGAGGGAAGTCCTGCCCAGCCAGTCCTCTGGGCAGCCCTGGAAGGTCAGGCCCTGCCGTTAAACGTTAACCAACGCACGTCTGGCTACCAGCCCCTCATGGCTTCCTTGAGACACCTGGCCCGGGAGGGCCCTCGGCGCTGGGCCGAGGGAGGGACCCGCCCCAGATGAACTGGCCAGAGCCCAGAGCAGGGGCTCAGAGGACAGGTCCTGCTGGGCACAAGGCCGCCAGGCCCCCTGGCTCAGTGGCAACTCTGGGGACTGGCCAGCCCAGCCCGAGGCTGGGGCACAGGCGCGGAAACTTTGGGAAGATCTCTGGGCTCCAGGGTCCTGGGTGGCAGCAGGGCCAGGCCTTGGCCCGGAGACAGTGCCGCTTCCTGCCCTGCCCTGAACTGTGTGGCCCGGCCCGCGGCACCCACAGCTCACCCTGCTGGCCCCGGGCCTCCGGGTGCTTGGTGCCAGCAGCACCACGAATCCATTGTCCTTCTGATGCCCACGGCCTCCTGACCGAGGTCTCTCCTAGAAACACACAGCTTTCTCAAGCCCAGCCCAGGCTGACCCCTTCTCCCTGCCAAGGGTCAGCCCACATGGGCTGCCACCCCCTCTGTCCAGTCCTCTGGGAAGACTGGAGGGGCCAAGGTGCCTGGTGCCTGCGGTTCAGGAGCCCACCTCCATCCCCAGGGAGTTCCGGGCTCCCGAGGGCCAGCGGCTCCGGCCCTGAGGTGGGGCTCCCCGAGGCCCTGCCTCCCACACCCTTTCACCCACCAGGGCGACTTTCTTGCGGGGAGAGGCAGAGAATGCTGGGCTTTGGCCACTGCCTCTGAGCTGTGCCCTCGGTGCCCAGGTCCGAGAGGAAGGCCTGCCAGCCAGGCGGGCCACAGAGTCAGGTGAGGACGCACAGCCCCTGGGGGGCTGCCACCCGGCATTCGGGGGAGCCTTGCTCCTCCCGAGGAAGGCCCGTGGAAATGTGCTCCCATCAAAGCCCAGAGAATTCCAGGTGGCCTGAAGGCAGAAGCGTTCGTGAGCATGGCTTTAGTGGGTGCCGATCCAGGCTCACGGGGAAGTCCCCAGGAGGGCAGCCGGCTGCCCCTGGCTGGGGAAGCCAGGGTGCTGGCCTGGGAGGGACACAGGGTGGAATCCAGCCGGAAGTTCAGGGCAGGGCCGAGGGCCAGGAGCGACCAGAGTGGGCTTGCCGGAGGAAATGGAGCTCGTGCAGCCCTGGCAGGTGAGGGGGGCAGTGAGGGGCGGCTCTGGCAGGGATCAGCGGGGGCCAACAGGCCTGGCCCGGAAGGAGGGTGCAGAGCTGAGCCTGCAGAGTGGCTGGAAGGGGCCCGGGAGGGGGCGCCTACCAGGGGGGACTGCACTCTGGAGAGAGGCCGTCTCCCTTTGCTGGGAAAAACGGCTTGGGCACCTGGTGAGGGAGGGACTTCTGCAGCCAGGCCACTGAAGACAGAGGACAGCCTGAGCAGGAGCACAGGAAGGCCTTCCGGCCTGCTGAGCCGTGGGCAGGACGGGCCCTCCCACAGCAGCACCCCTCGCGGGCACTCAGGACGGTGAGGAGGAGGAGGCCCCAGCCGACCTCCCGGGTCCTGTGAGGGTCACCCCGTGGGGTCCGCCTGCCCGGGCCCCCGCATCCTTTCCCCCTACACCCCCTGAGCCCCGGGCCAGGAGGCAGGACCCGCGCAGCAGGGTCTCCAGCAGCAGTTGGCGCCATCTGGTGGCTCCACATCCTGAACCTTGACCACCATGCGGACCCTGCGGTCCTGACGGACCCTCGGCCTCCCCGGGCCCCCCTCTGCTCTCCAGAGGGTCCTGTGACCTTCTGGGGCCAGCCTCCAGGCATCTCCTGTGGCCCTGGAGGCAAGACCGTCCCCAGGCTGGGTCAGGAATCTGGTGGGGCCCGCTGAGCCAGGTCCCCGTGACTCAGCGCCCACACTGGCCCTGACCCGACCCAGGTGAGGACACCAGGGAAGCAGGTCAGGGGAGAGGCCCGCGGGCACACTCGCCCGTGCACACGGATGGGGGTTCAGCCCACCGCCGGCCCCGAGTTCTGCACCGTGAAAGTCTCCGTCGGGCAAACTCTTTCAATCCCAGGGTCCACATGGGCTCTGGTGGCTCCGAAAGGCAAGATGGAGTCAGTGGGGAGCAGGGGCGTCCCTGATTCTGGCCCCCTCCCGGCTGCTCCAGGGACCCTGCGGGGACCCCAGGGGCTCTCGGGCCTGCCCCAGGCCCCCCGGGGTCCCCTGGTGCCCCCCGGCCCTCTGCCTTTGGGGGCCCAGGTGGAAAGTGGTTAGCACTTCAAGATGGTGGTGGCGGGTGTCACTCGGAGCTCAGGCTCCACAGCCCTCCTTTGTTCTCTGACCGGCGGGGACCAGCCCTTGAGGGTGGCAGTGCCGGCCCGGGCACTCTCCCTCTGAATGTTGGGGGGTTGGGTCGGCTCTGGGAGTGGGGCTGCCTGAGCCAGCCCGGCATGGAGGGGGCACTGAGGACCACGTGAGTGAGGGCCCCCTCAGGACCACAGTGGGTTTCTGTCTGTCTCCCCTGCATACTCAGCCCCAGGCCGGCGGAGGCTCTGGCCCAGATGGGTGCCTGGTTATTTCTGGAGGGGGTGGCCTGGGCTGAGCCCCTAAGGCAAGAGGGGTGGCAGGCTCTTGTGGGCAAAAAGGGGGAGACCCAGACTGGAGGAAATGAGCCCTTCTGCTGCAGGTGGGACCGGGGGAGGAAAGGCCAGGAGGAGCTGAGCCAGAGGTCACCGGTGGGGCTGGGGGCACAGGGTGCCCCATCGCGGGGTCAGCCCTCAGCTTGGAATCCTGGGCCCCTGCAGGGGGAGGAGCGAGCCGGGCCAGGTGCGCTCCCTCCCCTGGGCCCCAGGGCCCCAGGCAGGCGCGGTGCTGGCCCGCCCTCCTTCCTACCCCCTCGCCTCAGGGTGGCAGGTAGGCAGGTTTGGGCCAGCGGCTGCTGAGTCAGTTTGCAAGGAATGTTCTGGCCGCTCCCAGCTACACCCTGTGCCTGCCTCCCCCCACCCCCAGGTGTTCTGGCCCGGCGCCCGCCGTGCCTGGAACGCACCTTCAGCCCCAGCTTGCTGAGACCAGCTCGCGCCGGCAGCTGGCCCCCTGCTCCCCCTGCCTGTTCCCCCCGTGACCCCAGCAGAGCCCTGGCTCTGGGAGCCCCCTTCATCACGTTTCCAGGTCACCCCAGGGCCGGGGCTCACGGTGTGATCAATCTTGTTCCCTGTGTGACGGGCAAAACACAGTGGCCTGAGGTCGGGCAGGGATGAGAGGGGACCTCAGGTGACGACCCCCAAGCAGGGCCCTGGGCTGGGCAGAGAGGCCGGGACCAGAGGGGCTTCCTGTAGGAGGAGGCCCCGCTGTGGTGGTGGTGGGGGGGGGCTCTGCAGGGAAGACCAGTGAGCGCAGGCCCTGGGCTGCTCAGGCCCAGCATGCTTGGTTAGGGCTGGAGCTGGGGAGGGGGTTGGGAGGTGGGCTTGGGGCTAGGAAGCTGGCACTTCGGCCAAAGTCCAGGGCCTCCCTCCCCTTGGCTCCGCTCAGAACCACCACACCAGGCTGCCCCCAGCCCAGGCAGACCCCAGCTGGCTGCCACGGGGTGGATAGGGTGGCAGGCAGAGACCTGAAGGGCCATCCCCTCTGGTGACGAGGCACCCCCTGACCGTCTCCCCTCTTCAGCCAGCAGAGTGGGGAGACAGGGCACCCCTCAGAGCCCCATGGGGCACTGGCCCCAGTGGGGACCACAGCTGCGGGGGGCATCATGGCCACGCCCGGGCTGATTCCGGCCCTGGTTGACCAGACACCCTGTGCGTTGTGGGGCCTGGCCGGCCCGGTGTGGGCAGTGCTGTCCACGGAAGCACCTCAGGCTCACCCCGCGCCCAGCCCAGGGCTCTGCTGGGCACTAGTGGCCCTTGCTGTCCCCACCGCCGTCCTCATCGTGTCCTGCCTCCTCTGCGCCCTGTGCTGCTTCTGTCACTGGCGGAACAGAAGGAAGCCCAGGGACAGGAGGCTGTGCGGCTGGGCAGCGCCCAGAGCAGCACCAACCACCTGGGCAGCAGCGGCCCCGGGGCTCCCAGTGCTCATGGTGCAGCTCACGGTCCAGGCTCAGGGGCCCAGGGCAGCTCAGTGTGGTCAGGAGTGAGCTTGGCCCCTGGGTGGCTGATGGGCCCACAAGGCCAGGGCCTTCCCAAGGGGCCCAAGGTGACAAGGAGAGGCAGGCGGGCCCAGGGCCCAAGGGCTGAGCCAGCACGGCGGGGGTCAGGGCGTGCTCTCGAGGAGAGAAGAGGTGCCAGCGGTGGACGCGGGGCCGGTCCATCTGTTCTGGCCAGGCCCAGAGCTGAGCTGAGGCTGTGAGCCCGGGTGCTAGCCTCGCCCAGAGGTGGGAGGTTTGGTCTGACCCAAGGCTCACCACGGCTGCGTGGGGGCCACACCTGTTACGGCCCCTCCCACGCCAGGTGCAGCCAGAGGTGGATGGCGAGGAGTCCGGCCTGGGGGGCGCCCAGAAGTGGGGCTGCCTGCAGCTGTCCCTGGAATACGTCTCTGGAAGCCAGGAGGTGAGGCCCCACTTCCCAGGCCCAGAGGATCTGTGGGCTTTTGCAGGGGTGCAGGGTGGGGCACCCCAGCTGAGCCACCCCCGCTCCCAGATCAGGGTGGGCCTCAAGCAGGCAGCGGACCAGAGGGCCAGGGGCCCTGGTGGCACAGCAGACCCCTGCACCCGAGTCAGCCTGTCCATCCAGGCCGGGCACGGACAGGAGACCAAGGTGCACTGTGGCACACTCTGCCCCGTGTTCGACCAGACCTGCCGCTTCGGCATGAGTCTGGGCCGGGGGGTGGGGGTGGGAGTGGGGGGGCAGGCCAGGGCAGCGGGGCCTCTCTCACCCCCAAGCCTGCAGGTCCTGCCTCAGGAGCTGCCCAGGACCACGCTGAGGGTACAGGTGCTGCACTTCAGGCCTTTCTCCTGCCACTGGGGGCCATGGATCCGCAGCACGTCCTGGAGCTCTGGCACCGGCTGGGCCCCTGCGTGCCATCCAGCTGAGGCCTCCCACCCCCTGGCTTCAGCCCAGCCCCACCTGGGGTGCCTGCAGGCAAACCGAGGTCGCTCCTGCGCCCACAGGCTGAGCCAGTGAGGGAGCTGCGTGTCTCGCTCTGGTACGTGCCCAGCTCGGACCGGCTGACCATGGTGGTGCTGGAGGCCCAGGGCCTGAGCCTGGGGCTGGCAGGTGAGAGCCAGCCCGCGCCCTCCGGGTGGGCACAGGGGGCCCTGCGCTCGGCTGTCGGGCCTGTGACGCCCCACCCTTCCGCCTGCCCAGAGCCCTATGCAAAGGTCCAGCTCGAGCTGAGCCAGAGGAAGTGGAAGACAAGGAAGACGTCTGCCAGGAAGAGTGTGACCGCCCGTACTTCAGCAAGGCTTTTGCCTTGCTCGTCTGGTCAGCCAGGTCCAGGTGGGCTGCCCGGAGGGAAGGGCTCCTGTCTCCACCCTCCCCCACCGCCCCTCTGCCTGTCTCTGCCCAGAGTGTGGACTCGGTGCTGGCCATCTGGGCTCAGGACCCCCGGCTCCGGGCCGAGCCCATGGATGAGGTGGCGCTGGGTGCCCGGGCCTCCGGTCAGCCGACATGCTGGCCCACGCCCGGCGGCCCACCGCCCAGTGGCACCGCCTGCGCCTGCCCTTGCCGTGTTCCTGAAAACACCCCGGTGCCTCAGCCTCCCCGGCTGCCCTGGGGCCACCGCAATGAACCCTCACTCCCACCCGCCTCCTGTCCGTCCTGTGGCCTTGGGGACACAGTAAGGTCGCCCCCCCCCCCCAGGAGGGGAGGCCTGCTCTCCAGACTCATCCAGGCCCTGAGGCCTCCGAGTAATGCCTGACCCTCGGGTGCAGAGAAGGGGGCCCCTCGAAGCCCAAAGAGGACAACACAGGGAGGTAGGGGGCCCTTGCGCCTGGGGGGCTGCAGTGTCGGTGGTGGTGTGAGGGGAGTGGGTTAGAGGCAGCCCCGCAGGCACAGCGTGGGCCGTCGGGAAGCATCTGGGGGGCAATGGCAGAAAGAAAGGGCCCCAACCCCAGGGGCCGCCACAGCCCCTCTCAGAGACCCCAAACCTGGGGGCAGGCGCCTTCAGGGCCTCCCTGTGTGAGCAGCAGGGGGCAGCAGAGGCCTGTGGAAGACACCGAGGTTGGGGGGTGCACCAACGTGGCGGGAAGAATGTGAGCTCTGGCCCCGCTCAGCTCATCCGGAGGCCCCACTCTCCCAGAGCTTCCCCGCGGCCCAGAAACCCAGCCAGGAGGCTGCCAAGTCAGGGCCCTGCAGATGCCTGTGCTGGGTGGGGGCCGAGGGGCCCCGGCCCCCGGCGTCAGGGAGGGTCCCAGCAGGGCCTCGGGGTCCTGCACGTGTCTGAGTTGTGCAGCAACAGCCCTTGGGTGGGGCGTCCCATTCGGCGGGGCGTCCAGGGCGTCCCGAGCCTGCTCCTGGGTGGGAAGGTGGCGGCATCCCCCCACCCTGAGGTCCCCGGCACTCCTGTTGGCCCGGAGGCCGTGTTTGGGGGGCCAGGCCTTACTCTGGAACTGGCTCGGAGAAAGGGGGGCGCAGCCAGCTTGTGGCAGACACCCCCTGGGCTGAAAGGGAAGCGGGGGTCTGCAGGAGAGGTGGCTGCCACCCCGGGGCGGACACCGTGCTGCGGACCCTGCTGGGAAACCCAGCAGGGCCAGGGGCCCAGGGAGCCCGCTGCTGGCCTCAAGCCGTGCACCCACCTCGGCCCCCGAGGTCCCTGGAGGCCACACACAGCTGCCCGCAGGCTCCTTGCAAGAAGCAAGAATGTCTCCAACTCGTCACCAGTCCCTAAATAGAGCAACTCGACCTCGCCCCCCCCCCCAAGACTTCTTGGACGGGACGGCGGCATGTGGCCGGGCCAGGCCAGGCAGCCTGGGCAGGTGGGGAGGTCCCTGCGCCCCCATTGGTCTGAGGAGGGCTCAATGTCCTTTCCGAGCAGGGGCCCAGCCTGGGGGAGGACATTTATACCCCTCCCCTGGGCCCACCAGCCCGACTCGCCAGTGCCAGCCTGACCTTGCTCCCAGTGCAGCGGCCCCGACGCCAGGTGAGGCGGGCCAGCCGGCCGGGCACGGGCGCTGCTCGAGCGAGCTCGGAGAAGGGCTTCCTGGGTCAGGGGGCTGGGGTCGGGGGGCCGCCACCGGCCGCCCTCTGTGGGGGGCTTCCCGGAGCTGAGAGCCAGCCAGGGACACGGCGGGGTTGGACTGGGGGTGGGCAGGGGTCTCGGACAGCCCCCGATGGCCAGGCCTCCCCTCTGGGACCCTGGAAGGGGGCTTCATGTGTGAGGAAGCCCAGACCAAACTGGGGACTGGCCTCTCCCAGGCCCTTGGGCTCAAAGCCGAAGGAGCAGAGCTAAAAATATCGGGTGGCTCTGGCAGCCACCTGCGCTGGCCTGTCCCGCCTCCCTCAGGGACAGCTGCGCACCCCGGGCCCTGCCCGGATGTTTGGGGACACTTTCTCCTCTTCCTTCTCACCCCAGGGAATTTCAAGACATCACCCGCCCCCTGACCTGGGAGGCTGGAGTTGGGGCCCAGGCAGCAGGGGGCTGCGCTCGCCACCCCCAGTCTGTGCCCATCACGCCCCGTCTCTCTCTCTCTCACAGGCTCTAAGCCCAGGACCTCAAGATGGGGGAGTAAGTGAAGTCCCCAAGCCCCATGCCCCTGCCACCCGTGGCTGCCGGGGGTCTCTGCCCACCCCTGTTCCCACCCACCCCCTGACAGATCCCTAACCTCTCTCTTCTCTCCCCCACCCCTGCCTACCGTCCTGGAAAAGTGATGAGGTGAGTATCTTCCTGGGGGCGAAACATAGAGGGGACAGGACCCCCCACTTGGGATAAGTCGGAGGTCAGAGTTTCGAGGCCCAGGAAGACACCCCAGCCACCCTGCAGACGGTGACGCCACAGAGGAAGTGGCCCCGGCGGCAGGGGAAGTGGGGCTTCTCTCGGATTACTGCACCCCCCCCCACCCTGCAGGGACCCCGTCCCTCCCCGAGTCCTCTGGGCACAGCCTCTAACCTGCACCCACCCATGCCCCCCCCCCCGAGCAGGCCCCGGGCCGTGCGCTGTGCGTTTGGGGGGCTCCTGCGGGGGGCGCGTGGGGGTGTGCGGGCCAGCGTCCCTGACTCTGCTCCTCTCCCCCCGCCTTGCAGAAGCGCAACAGGGCCATCACGGCCCGCAGACAGCACCTGAAGGTGGGTGCCGCCCAGGGTGGGGGGGCCGTGGCGGGGCAGGGCAGGCCACGGCCCTAACCCCTGCCTGCGGCCCACCCCCCGCAGAGCGTGATGCTGCAGATCGCGGCCACGGAGCTGGAGAAGGAGGAGAGTCGCCGGGAGACCGAGAAGCAGAACTACCTGGCGGAGCACTGTGCCCCGCTGCACATCCCCAGCTCCACCGCCGAAGTGCAGGTACCCGCCCGCCCTGCCTCGGTTTCCCCACCGGCTGAGAGGGCAATGGGGGGCCGGGCGGGCCCAGGGGAGGCCTGGCGTCAGGACAACGGCGCCCCCCCCCCCCACTGCAGGAGCTCTGCAAACAGCTGCACGCCAAGATCGACGTGGCCGAGGAGGAGAAGTACGACATGGAGGTGAAGGTGCAGAAGAGCACTAAGGAGGTGAGCGGGCGCGGGGCTCGGTGCGGGAGGGGGCGCGGGGGACGCGGGGGCCCTGGCCCCGCCGGCCGCTGCCCAGCCCTCCCCACCCCCACAGCTGGAGGACATGAACCAGAAGCTGTTTGACTTGCGAGGCAAGTTCAAGAGGCCGCCGTTGCGGAGGGTGCGCATGTCGGCTGACGCCATGCTCAAGGCCCTGCTGGGCTCCAAGCACAAGGTGTGCATGGACCTGCGGGCCAACCTGAAGCAGGTCAAGAAGGAGGACACCGAGAAGGTGCGAGGCCCGGGCCCCTCCCTGGGACAGGGGGGTGGGGTGCTGCGGGGTGGGGGGCGGCGACAGGGCGGGAGGGCCTGAGCCACCTCTGGCTGCCCCCAGGAGCGGGACCTGCGTGACGTGGGCGACTGGAGGAAGAACATCGAGGAGAAGTCCGGCATGGAGGGCCGGAAAAAGATGTTCGAATCTGAGTCCTAGGCGCTCGAGGCCGGCAGAGGCGGCTGCCCAGAGGACCGCCTGGTGGCGGCCGTCAATAAAGACTCCCGAACCCGTGACTGGTCTGCTGTGGTCCTGCCCTGCCTCTCTGCCCACACTCAGGCCGCCGAGGCCCTGGGCGCCATGTCCCAGGGAGGCCCGGGCAAGGGCGGGGGTGCGGGGTCTCGGGGGCTGTGCCCGGGCCCGGCCCCCACCGGCTGGCACCCTGGGGCTGTGGCCCGTGGCTGGTGGGCAGTTCCCAGAGTGCACCAGGGTTGGCTCTGGGCTGCCGGACAGCTTGGGGTCTGGAGACCGATGGCCCGAGTCAAGTCTGAGTGGCAGCTCTCCCAGTTGGTTCCCACGACCCTGTAAGGAGCCCTGCCTGTCTGGGGACGTCCAGGTAGGGCTGGACCCTGCCCTGGCGGCCCCCATTTCCCCCTCGTCAGAACCACAGCCCCCACCGGGGACACACGGGGGCTGTCCTGGGTCAAACGGGCCCCCAGGCTGCCTGTACCCCCAGAGACTGAGGGCAGGCCAACCTGGCCCCTCATGGGCCCTGTGGGAGGGCCTGGGTCTCCTTCCTGCTCAGCCCCGAGGCCCTGGCCACCTCGCCCATCAAGGGACTGTGTCCCTGAGGGGCCCGGACGAGGCTGTCACGGCGAGGCCATGGCCCTCAGCCTCCCTCGTGACAGATGGTGCAGGGCCTGCCCGCCAAGGCCACCCGCTCAGATCTCTGGCGGAGACCCCAGGGAGGCCAGGGCCCAGCCCGGCCCGCAGCGGAGGGGCCGCCGTCCTTCCTTTGCCTTCCGGAGGTCCCCGGGATTGATATGCCGGGGGCCGGAGGCCGGAAGCCTTGGCCTCCTGGAGGGACTGAGAGCCTGACGTCAGCCGGTGCCCCGATGGCCTTCCCTGGGGGCCACCCCCGCCCTCCGCAGTCTGAGGTCCGGCCGTGTCCTTCACGTAGTCTGCACAGCCCCCCCCATCCCCCCGACCAGGTGGCCTTGTAGCTCTGGCCCAGGCTTATCAACTCCCGGGGCCACCGCCACGGGGAAGGCCAGGCCTCCAGGAAGAGCCCCTGCTCGTCCCTGGGACGGGGCGGACCAGATGACAGTAAAGTTGCCACACAGTGGGCACATGGGGTGCGGACCTGGGGTGGGGGCTCCGACCAGACACGCCCTTGGGGCGAAGGGACGAGAGACGCTCCAGGCGGGGGCCCGTCCTGTGTGGAGGCCAGGGCCGGAGGGCGGCTGTGGGTCCAAGGGACGGCTGTGGTGGCCGGAGCGCCCAGCGACAGAGTGGGTGCGGCGGTCTGGGCCGAGGTGGCGTCCTCAGAAATGGGAGGTGCTCAATGCCCCAAGGGGGACCTGGGTGGGGAGGAGACAATGGGTGGGCGCTGTGCAGGAAGGACCCCGAAGGGAGCCCCAGGGGGGTGGCCGGCGGGCAGGCCGCAGGGGCCGAGGTGGGTGGGGTGGGGGCTGAGCCGCAGCTCTCTGCACTCCGCTGGCGACGGTCAGGAGAAGACGCCCCCAGGCTGTGGTCCCCGACACTGTCCGCTCCCTCCGATGGGACCTGGGGCCCCGGGGTGGCTGGGGGAGGGGTGAGGGCAGCCCCCGGGGGACAGGGGAGCCAGGAAGCCTACAGGTGGGCTAACTCAGCAAAGGCAAATGAAAAG